TATCTATCTATCTATCTATCTATCTATCTATCTATCTATCTATCTATCTATTTGATTTATAGAGCCACCCATCTCACAGCAGTCACCCTGGGCAGCATATAAAGATTAAAACCACCATTACAGAATATAACTCATGATGCCCTGGTTAAAACAACCACCTCAAAACAAAAAGCCACATCACCAGGAGAGCTCGTCTAACCTCTTGGCCCAAATGCCTGGGGGAACAGCTAGGTCTTCAGAGCATTACAAAAGGCTAACAAGGTTGGGGCCACCCATATGTTGGGGGGGGGAGATCAGGTACAGCCACAGAGAAGGGGTTAAAGGGAAGACTTTCCTGCCCTCCGATACTATCTAGGGCTGTGGGCAGTTTGACCCTAGTTTTAGCATTATGGTTGAATCAGATCACTAGGAACCTGGAAAAAAAAACTTTTCTCCCACAAAATATCGTGATAAAGGCAATTTCCTGTGGTATTACATTTATGGTGATAGTGTCTAAAAAGCAGCAACAAGGACAATTTGAGATAACAGGTATTTTTGTTGTTGTTGTTGTTGTTAATGTGTAAAGGTGCTAATTATTCCAAACTATTTTTCCACTATCTTAAAAGCAGTCTCTTAAATTTTTATTTTTGCACCTAAGGTTAAAAAACTGAAGAGGGAACTCTTGCAGATGAAGCAAGAATTATTATATAAGGAGCAAGGCTATGAAACATTACAACAGTGAGTATAAGAAAATAATTGAAATTAACTTAAATAATTCACCCCATTGGTTGGAACTAAATCAAATAGAATAATTATTTCTCTTGAAATAGGTGAGAAAAATCTACAGCCTACTGCCTGTGGGAAAATCTAACTGGTCTTTTAAACTGACCTGTTATTAAGGGAGAAAAGCAGAAAGCTATTTTAAAGGTGTAAAAAGAGAGAATTGAATAGGTCTCGATTTGCCACTTCTACGATGGAGAAGAGCAAAAAAGTAGCCCAAAAAGACAAGAGAAGCACCATTACATTTTTTTGCACCATGCGCCCTTTAAGTATAATTAGACCTTTACTGAATATTTAACTGTCATGGAAAAGGACAAGCTTCAGTGAGAAGGTTGAAACAGAGGAAAGATGGGGTTGAAATAAATCAGAAATTGGAGAAATCCCATGTTCTTTTTGCTCCACTGATCTTTGCATTCCCTGCTTGCTGAGCTTGTATTCAGTAATGTTTATATAAGCACAGTATGAATACCTGTTTGAAGACTGTCCCTGCCCAGAAAGAAAAGGCAGTCATCTAAATTGGTTGGGTGGCAAATAAATGGCAGCATCAAAACACCTGTGCTATATTACAGATTTAGAATGCCCAAAGCTAAATAAACTTACTTAAAAGATAGTTGAACAGATTCCTTGCAACTGTTCATTATTTTTTTTTTTTGTAAGTGGCTAAGAATTTAAGTCTTCCTGTAATCCCCCAGTATTATTCCATATAATCTTAAAATACGAAATTGAATAGAATTAAAGTTTAAGCAATTCACAACTGCAGACTCTTTAAATTTAAACGTATATCAAATAATGTATATTTTTCTCTTAAAGCATAAGTATACCTAAGCTTAAAAAATTCTGCTTCTATCAAGATTAAAGTTAGTCCAACATGTAATTGCTTTACATTCATGTAAAATGAAGTATTGTTTGAAAAGCAACTTTCTTGCAAGTAATTTCATTAGGAATCCAAAGCATGTTTGGGAAACTTTAAGCAGCATACCACACATAAACAATGAACATTTGTTATGAAAATTGCGGCTGTCAGCTTATGACTAGCACTAATTCTATTTACTGAAAGCAGGGAATCAGAATATCTTTCATACTGGAGAGCTGTTTTATTCATTTCTACCATATCTGTTATAAAAAATAGTTGCAACTTAAAATGTAAGGCATCATACTTTGAAGCAATAGGACTGCAGCATGCTGGAAAACTCTCATTCAATCACTTGTTTTTATGTGCAGTTAATCTAGGCTGGATGATAATGCAGCAAAAATAAAACATAAATAGGGAGTAAATATTCTGCTGTCAATAGCATGTTTAAATAGAATCCTGGTCTGGATCATGCTTAACATAATGTTAAACTCTGGTTTAGTGTTACAAGCATTGGACTAGTGTGTTTTCCTTTCTTTTCTTTGGTTTAGGACAGATAAACTAATCTTCATCATGTATGTCCTTTAACTGATAACATTTTAATCTTTTGCATACTGTATACATCAAGTAGCCATCTCTGTTCCCTGCATTACAAGTGGAGAGGCTCTTTTCTTTAATATACTTTAACACAAGTCAAAATAAGTGGATAATGTTGGGCCAAGCTAATTCTTGAGTAGTTTTTTTTAATTGGAAGCCAGTGATAAAGTCAAGAAAAGATTTCATTTTCATGCAGAAATCCTCTGTAAGATGATATGTAAGCACTTAGTATGGAAGGTTGCTTTTGGGTTTTGAAGTGTTTGTGCATCTTTTCCTTGGAAGATATAACTTGGTAACTAAAGATGAAAAATGATGTTGGACAAAAGAAAACCATGGCATTTCTCCTTTGGTGATGCCATTTTCTTTTTATTATTTATTTTGTGGAAGCACCACATTTTAATTGTTTCTATTTGACTGTTGGGGTTTTTCTTTTTTTTTTTGCTTTCATTGCTAGCTTGTAAATAGTTCTTTTTATTCTACTTTTTAGGTATAGTGATTGAGATTAGTTTTTTTTTTTTATCAGATCTGTTTGTTATGAATGTGATACTTATTGTAAATTTTAAAAATCTACCTTTTAAAATTCCTTTGATTTTCTTAAATTGTAATTCCTCTGGGAAGTAAATATTATAGGTGAAGATGAATACTTTAAAATAATTCATCAGGAATATGCAAATTGCTTTGTAATCCTTTCTGCATTCATCCTTAGAAGAAGTTACATTACAGTTGAGACGCTAAAGTCTAATCTACCCATAACTTGGACTAATACTAGCATTTGCTTTTGGGAGGAGATCTTAGTTCAAGTTACAATTCACCCACTATAATTTAGTATTTTGTGTGAACCAGGCAAGCAAATGATAGTTTAAAAAATCGTAGATTCGGGTATGTATTATGAACCAGACCTAACTGTATAGATGCATTTTCTTGGACATATCAATATTTTTACATTCATAAATAGTAGTTTCTCAGGGGAATGGGTCCCAGGTCTATATGATTAAGAACAGATCAAGAAGTCACATTACTCAGGTTCAGGTTGTGCATTACAATCATTTCTAATTTCAGTAACATCCATTTACATATCTTACAATGTAGAGTACATTTTAGGAAGCGTTTGTTTTATATATATATATATGCTTCCTGATATCCTATGATACTTGGAAGAAAGTGGAATTTGATTAAGATTACAATGAGAAAGCTGTTACGTCTACAGAAAGGTAGAAATAGAAAAAGGAGATTGAATATGTACATTTATTTATTTATTTATTTATTTATTAAATTTATATGCCACCCATCTCTCCCAGAGGGGAGATGTTGTTCATACTTTCTTGATAAATTTTGACTTCACAATATTTTGTTAATTTATAAAATATCGTTAATTTAATACAAATGAACCCAGTGAAGACAAATCTGTGAATAATGACAGATCTTTTCTTCCTTTAGATAAGATGAAATCTATATTGCAGCCTGGGCATTTGAGCAACTTAAGTAGATACGCATATCCCTTTATGAATTGATGCTGCTAAACCTGTGCAGTACTATATTTACTTCCCCAGAAGCAAAATTCACTATGATTAAAAAGGCTTTTTCCGAGAGAAGTGCACATAAGAATGTAGCCTTAATTTCCAGGTGATTTGAGGTTTTGCTGCCATCAATTTGGCAAAGATCTCTATTCCCTCCTTTCTTTTGGTGGGGATAGAATTTGGGAATACAGTATTGCTAAGATTAAAGTATTCTGTTCTGATGTTCTTATATTTTGATTGTAGGTAGCAGCTATTTTGTTATGGAAGATAATATTATTAGAATTGCCCATTTCTCTTTCCCTCAATAGGATGTCTTTCTAAATGCCAGGAACATTTTTTCTTACAGTTACTATCAGTGTACCTGTTTTACAGAATTGACCAAAAAATGTCTGGAGGCCAGAATGGATATGAGTTAAGTGAAGCCAAAGCCATTGTGAATGAATTGAAGTCTATCCAAAAAGCTATAAGCTCTGGTGAAAAAGAGAAGCAAGATTTAATGAAGGTATTTTGGTATCATTTTCATTCTACATTTGTGGTGGAATTTTGGGATGAGGGTATGTGAAGCTCCTAACAGCCATTCACAATCAAGTAGGCTAAATTCTAAGGACTTATTAAATTTGTTGAAAAGAAAAAAAGGGATTAAGTTACAGAACTGGATCTTGGTAACTGAATGTGTGTAGTTTAGCACCCCATTTAACTGTAAGTTTGGTAGGGCAGGGATACTTTAACTATGTTGCTGACTTCCTTGGCAAGCAATAGGGATGTTGCTTCACTGATACAGAGGAATGCACAGATGTTTTGGCCCTGTAATATTTTTGCAGATTGCTATTCTCTTTTCCAGGCTCTCGGAAGTCCATTGCAGGGTGATATTAACATAGCTAACTGAAGTTTCTCACCTTGCCTTTTTGAAATATCTTGTTTTAGGGAAAGTGTGTGTGGGAGAGAGAGATAGAGAGAGAATGCAAGCACGCATGCATGCACTGAGTTGTCTTTTAAAATAGATAATGGTAAATGTTGATGAACAACTCTAGGGTATTCCTTTCTATAGTATTCTGTCTCCCTCTTGGCTATGTATTTCTTGCTGTGTGTGTTTTTTTTTATAACAAAATCTGTAGTGATTTACTGTTGTTGTTCCCCAGAGCCTCGCAAAGTTGAGAGAAAGATTCCTCCTTGGTCAAACTGTTGCTCAATCAGAATCAGACTTGAAATGCAGCCTGGCACATTCCCAGTTGTCTCTCTCCAAGCAAACTTTGGATGCAGGGTCTCAGACAGACATTTCTGGTGATGTATGTTTTTCATATCATTTAAAGGTGGGGATGAAGAAAATAGCTGTGGAACGTTCTTGAAGGGATTTGAGTCAAATGGCTACCTCAGACTCTTGTTAGTCAATATAGCCAGAACATTCTAGACATAAATATTTTCTGCAACTCTTGTGTTGCAGTTGGAATTTTACAAGGTGAATTTCACAATTTTAAATAGTTTTTTAAATGATAGAAATAAGACCCCCTCCTACAATTCCATATAGATTGTTGCCAAGAAACTTGTGGGAATGGAGGGGAGGCATTGAGGAGCTAAACATCTGATCATGTATGCTCGGTAATTCCTTTGTTAACCTACTGATGTATTTCTGTATGAGGTTTTTTTTCTTTTTCTTTTCTCCTTTTGCTTGCTTGTTCGCTATTTTTCCTTTCCCTCACTTCTTTTACAAAGATTTATAAATAATTTTAAAAATCTGATCTTCAAAATTACTTAATCCAGTGGCCTGTAGAAGTTAGATCATAACTACTTTCATCATTCCTGAGTGATGCAAGTTAATATTGTCAGGCTCAGCCCAAGAACAACGATGAAACAGTTCAGTCCAGTACGGTTCCTTTATTTGCTTACATCGTCTAGACAGAATCTTGCCAGACTAACTCTACACTACAGCAACTAGTGAATATACCCCATGATACTCTAGGGAAGGGCTAGTCTAAACCTCTTCTTCTCACGGTGTTGCTGTGAACTGAGAAAGCGCTTGCCTTGTCCCCCTTTCTGGAATGCACTCCCTCCCTCCTGACAGCCTTGATCTCCCATACCAGTCTCCTCCTCGCAGATACCTTCCATTACAAATATAAACACATATGGAGGATGGAAACAAGTTTTCGAAGTGATATGGATGGTGCCAGATTTTCTAGACGAGATATTTGGAATATGGTTTATTTACAAAATAGCATCCATTTGACAATTATTGTTTTTCTTAATTTTTATAAATGTAAAATTGTCTCTAAAACTAAAAACATTTTCTCAGGTAGGCATGCTGTTTTAAAAACATTCCAATAAGCAAATTCTTTCATAATTGTAAACTAGTGACTAGAAGATTAATTTAGAATAAAATAGTTAATCCTTCCTTAGCCAGTGGGTTTGCTGTGCACCAGCACCTCTTTGAATATTTTAAAACTTACTTTAGAAATTCTATATTCCATGTACTCTATAGATATGGGGTTAGTGGTAGGTGGTGCTTGATTTTCCTCCGCTTACAATAAATGTCTATTTATATGTGCTGTGCTATGCTTTCATTTAACTATAATTAAATAAGTGAAAATGCAACTACTAACTTCCTATGTTAGTTTGAGTCCATGCTGGTCTCAATAATGTCTTCAAAATATTAAGCAGAACGTTTGTCATTATCATTAATAAGGAGAACTAGAATAGATTTTTCTATTTGCAATTTTTTTCCTTGTGTTTTCTGATATAAATTTTGTCCTAGAACATTAATTGTGATCCAAGTTGGCTTTAATTTGACAAAGTAGCTATAATAGTCATATTGAAAACTTGCATTTTTTTTGAAAAAAATAATTAAAACTTTTATTGTACTATGGAATACCCTCAACATCTTCTGTTATTTATTTTAGGTCAAGAATTCCATTAGGTACTTTTCAAATTCCTTCCTTCCTTCCTTCCTTCCTTCCTTCCTTCCTTCCTTCCTTCCTTCCTTCCTTCCTTCCTTCCTGTTTTTTACTCCAGGGTTTCCTGATATCCTAAATTTAGATTAACCACGTGGGATTCAGTGTAATCACATCTTCCCCGCCCCCCCCCCGCAAGTTTATGTTAGATCTTACTGGTATCATATTCCAAAAACATTTTAATTTAACCTGAAGTCATTTTTGAAGTCATTTAGCACATTATGTCAGATAGGTCCTATCAAAAATGACATGTATTTATTGAGTAGTGATCCATTTCTTAAATGTAAGTGAACCTTATTTGGTTTTTTTCTCCCAAAAATAAATAATCAAACCAAGGTCATAAAAAGTCTGATTTAAAAACCGGTGAGCAGAAAACTTGTCCAGATTTTGTTGCAGTTCATCAAGCTGTCCAATGAAATCAACATTTTAGTAACTTAAAAATATTTCTCACTGACTGGTATGATTGCCATAGATTTATATTCACAAATGTTTCCCAAATGCTGGTCTATTTCTTAAGGTGGAATGATAAAAGGCTCTGGGAGTGATTGTACTAGGATTTTCTTAGAAGCAGACTGTACTTAAATGTGGTTTTTTAACAATTTCAATCTCACTGAAGTCCTTCTTTGAGCTTCATCGATCTCTACCAAAGTTCTGAGTTCAAAGTACTAAGCAACAACTTGGGATTAAATGGTGGTTCAAAGTTGGCCTTAATAGAATTGTACCTGCTTCTATTAAAATCTATCCTAAGGTTATTTAGCAGTAATAAAGATACATTCCATTAGAAAATATTTGAACTAGCTTTTGAGCTGACAAAACAGAAATTAGTGTTTTGAAATGTGTTTCTATTTATTTAGCTTATTTAGGAAATTAAATTTCTTCATGTATTCTTATTGATATATGCATTAAGATGCTGGCTCTTTCAACAGGTTAGTGTCAAGAACATGGCCAATTTAGCTGAAAAGGTCAGATTGAGCCTTCAATATGAAGAAGCCAAAAGAAGGTAAAGAGAGAGTTTATTTTTTTGTTAAAATACGAATTTTGTATCCAAGTTTATAAAGCAGTGTAACCAATATAATGCTTGCAGTGACATCTACTGGATTCATCTTTTGAAAACATAGTTTAATATTCTTATCAGGATCATTTATTTGTGAATATTGAACTATTAGTGAATACTGCAAGCTATTTTGTTTCCACTAACAAAAGAATTGTAAGCAGAAGAATGTGAACTAAATTAAACAGCAAATTCAGGGAAACAGGTTATTATAGCAGCTTCCTCACTTGCAAAACAAACACTACATTTCAGAAATGTCTGTGTGTTTAGGTGATAATAGGAAAATTAGGATGTATAAACTAGTGGCTTTAAGAACATAATCTTAATTGTAATTATATAAATGACATAAAATGTAATACAGCAATCTCAGATTCAGAACTAAAGAGCCAAGGTAGAAGATAAATTCCACTGCCTCTTCAAAGGCAATGTCAGATCTGAATAAAGTAAGCCTTTCAACCTAAAAAGAATATCAGCTGTTTATCACATGGCATGGGAAATGTCTGTTGATACCTACAAAAATTTCAGAAACAGTTTTTATTATAGGCTGCAGATGATGAAGAAACCAGTACTTTAAATGTTAAAAAGTAGCAAAAGGTGTTACTGGAACTCATAATCTGTACAGGTAGTCCTTGACCTACATCCATTCATTCAGCAACCATTCAAAGTTATGACGGCGCTGAACAAATGGGGTTACAACCAGTGTACGGAGTTCTGGCCATCCCAGCACCCCTGCAGTCACATGATCATGATCTAGGCACTTGGTAACTGGTTTGCACTTACAAGCGGTTGCAGCGCCTCACAATCATGTGATTGCCATTTCCAACCTTCCCTGCCAGTTTCCCCAGAAAGTCAGTGGAGAAGCTGGCAGGGAAGATCACAAGTCACAGGGGTAAGTTTCCCCTGCCTGCACATCCTTCCCCAGCCCCTCTGCACTTGTACTGCACTGGCCATTCGCGCACCTCCGTGCACTCTCCACGACCCTTGCTGTGCCTCCCTCACACCCTTGCACACCCCTGCGGACCCTCCCCGACCTGTGCTGTGCCCCTCATTCACCCCCCCAACTTGCTTAGTGACTACAATTGGGACTGCAACTCTGTCACTAAGTGCCACAGTTGCTAAATGAAACATCATGTGACTGCAATGGACTTACAACATCACTTCCACTGTGGTCCTTAAGTGAATCACTGCAGTCATTAAGCAAGACATCACATGACTGTGACTTCCAATTTTACTTTCACCTTCTCCATTGACTCTGTCACATTTGTGTTGTGAAGCACACAAATGGTGATCACGTGACTGCAGGACGCTGCAACTGTCATAAATGTCCGCCAGGTCCGAAGTGCCTGAATGTCAATCACGTGATCATGGGGATGCTGTGCAGGTCGTAAATGTGAAGACTGGTCATAAAATTACTTTTTCAGTGCCATCATAACTTTGAACGGTCACTGAACAAGGTGGTTGGTAAGCGAGGTCTACCTGTACAACATTATAGAAGATAAAGCATAGATGATACAATTTCAGTCAACCATATTTTTTTCTCATCATGTTAATAAATTGAGAATATTGTTTCTAAAAGGCTTCAGGAAGCCTTCAATACCCTTTTCAATACATATAAATGGTTTCAAACTTACATGGAAACCTGCCATTAAAATGAAAGTTGGAATTGACAAGCAATGTCAGTGAAGAGGACTTGAAACTTTAATTCACTGATCAAGTACAGTATTAAAGGAAAATAATCCAATATAAAGAGAGGTTGCCTCAAAAGCTAAGAGGCATGCTCTTGTTAGCTGGAAAGATGGCTGATGTCAGTCAATAACAATAACTGATAATTAAGCATTTCAAAGAAGAAAAAACCCTGCAAGTCATTGAATAGTTGTCAGAGTTGTTTTCTAGCCAAGCTTGGCTAGATATGAACCATTGATAAAATAAACCTGATGCATTCCATTATCAATATGGGGCCTTCATTTAGTAGGCCAGAATGGTTTTATTTCTTTCTATGTTAGTTGTACATAGCTTTTAGAGCTGCTGCTTAGCTAGTTAAGAAATCAAAAGAAGCAGAAGGCTAAGCAAAGCTCTTAGATATCACTACCACAAAGTGGACACCAACTTAAATAGCTTTAAAAGTGATTAGATAATCAATGGATTATAACCGTCTTAATGGTTACATTAGGGCTTCATATATTTCTTGTAATATGGAAAGCAGTATAATTCATAATCCATATATAAGGATACGTGCACTCATGACCCTTTTGTTGAATTTCACCGTTTTGGGGGGCACAATGTAAATGGAATAGTGGATCAGATTTTGGTTTAGCTATGCCGACATCGTACTTTCTGTATTTTTATGCTGAAAAGAATTTGAAACATGATCCTTTTAAGAGAACATTCCATAAAATGAATGTCAGAGAAGGCTGACGGCTGTTACTTTCATGTGGTAGTAATTATAAAATAGAACCCTTTGTTCATTAAAAGTTTTCATTGTCTTGCAATTAAAAACCTTATCAGTTGGTAAATCACTTTGTAATGAATCGAACCTTCATGTGAATAATGCCATTTACTCAACTCTCAGGAACCTGTAATGTTCTTATTTTTCTTGCCCCTAATCATTATCTGAGATAGCCCCGGGCCATATCAAATTATATGAATTTGATTGATCCCCTCCATGTGAGGAAGCTGCACACTACCTCCTTAATGCCCCCCTAGTCTTTAACTCCGCCAACTATTTGTACTACAGTGCAGAACTTGATCAGAATCAAGAAGCATAGGCCAGTGCTGCATGATTTATTTATTTATTTAAAACATTTATATAGATTGACTTACCAGAAAAATAATTAGAAATACACGGCATGATTTAGGCCTGCACTTGTTGGGCTTTACACATATAGGTCCTACTGTATTATTGACCTCTGAAAGTGGAGTAGGCAAGTTGAATGGTCAAGGAGATAAGATATCCTCTTGCTTTTCCTTTTGTTTTTGTTCTACTGGAAATTACTCAGGTACCTATTGCTTATCTGTTCTTTGTGTGTGTCTGTCTCTTTTAGAATGGCAAACTTAAAAATTGAACTTTCTAAGTTAAAAAGTGAAGCTTGGCCTGGGGCACTGGATATTGAAAAGGAAAAGTTAATGCTGATAAATGAAAAGGAAGAGCTTCTGAAAGAGCTTCAATTTGTCACCTCATGTAAACGCACGCAAGATGAATTAAAGCATCTAGAAATAGAAAGGAAGAGACTGGAAGAGGAGCTATCTATGAAAAGCACACCTAGTGATGAACTTACAGAGAGGTAAAAAAAAATGCCTTCCCTCTATCATTTATTCCTTCATCTTAACCTTTATACTTACTGGAGAGCTTGAGTTGTGCCCTAATGGGCCATTTTCCTTCAGTAGCTGTTCTATGTACATTTTAATTAAATTTAAAATTAGTCTAGTGGGCAGTAACACAGAAAGACCTTCACACTGTGACAGAATTCACAGACTTCATATTATTTCAAGCTCTCTGTTGCTCTTCATTTGTGACCAGCATGAAAATAGCAAGTCCTGATGTTTAAATAGCTGAAGGAAGTCAGCAGAGTGCAATATATCATTGGCAGGTTTTGGGATAATAGCTGAGACCTTATGAACTTCTCACTGCAAATGTTATCCTCATTGCTTCTGTACTGGAGCCACTTATAGTTGATAGAGATGTTATTTTGTACATGTGCAAAGGAGTTGCTGAGTTCAGAAGGGGAATCCTATGGCAGCCGGACTCTATTCTTTTACATCAAGGGCCATGCAGTGATGCCTCAGCCTTCCAGAATTAACATACAGTATATTTTTAAAAAAGGGAATGAATTGGAAAACAATAGAATGTTAAGAACTGCATATTGAATTTATGATCATTAAGAATATGCTTATAAAAGCTTAAGTACTGTATATAAATGTTTAACTTTGATAAATGGAGAGTAATGACTGCAGCAGTGGCTCCTTTTACCTGCTGTGCCCTCCTCACACACTGATTATGTTGATACAGGACAGGCCACGAGTTTTTGGCATTCTGTCTATAAATGCAGCCTATTTCCTGCTTCTCTGTGTGAGGGAAGAATAGGCAAGGGGAGGTTAACGTGAAGTTTGAATAGTTGCTGCGCACAAACAAGATAGGTAAAGTAAGCAATAACAGGTCTTGATTTAAACACATTTCTGGCTTGTTTTGATACAATAAATATAATTGTGGGCTTGGATGTTACACCAAGCTGCCTAGTTTGTTTACCCCCTTATGTGAAGAGAAGGGTGAACGCAACTTGAACTCATCTCATTCATTTCTTGGTATATAAAGACATGATTCTTGGCTTATTGCTATGAGTGAAAGCCAACAGTGGTAATTATATGATAGAATCTTTATATTGCCATGCAAATTTTAAAAAGTGTGGTAAAATATACTGGTGTAGGCTTTCATGGCTGGTATCTGTTAGGCAGTGTTGAGCTTCAGGGTTTTAGTGACCATGATCTAGACAGCAGATTTCCTGATATTTTGCCAGCAACTGTGTGTGGTATCTTCAGAGGCAAGGTATTCTGCTAGCAAGTCAGGAAATTCTGCTTCTGGGTGAGGATCTAAGGTGAACTAGTTGTCCCTGAAGGAACAGGAATGGCATTGTGGTGGGGATCGGCAGTCAGACAGTGAATTCTGGCCAGTGCAGTCTCTCTGGACAAGAAGAGATTGTGAGATCACCCACTTGCACTCTGGACAGCTACTCTTCATGAGGCAACTGCAGGAATTGAGGTTTTTGCAATTGACTCGTGAGTTGAGCGACTGGGAGTCGAGGGATTTCAACCAAGCTCACAGCCATAATGCAGCCTATATGGACACAAGATAGGCCAAACCCTCGCTTTTTAAAACACTTTCAGATATAATCAGTTTAAAGCTAAAGAGATACTCTGAGCAGCGGGATAAGAGAATTCTATTTGGTGAGTCAACATTCTTTCTGGATTAAAAAGGGGGAAAAAGGGTTTCAAAGATTTAAAAATTGTTGGCAAAAAGCTTAATGAGGATTGGATGTAAGAAAGTTTAAAATGGATAAAGGGGATAGTAATTTTGAAAGATTACTTTTTGATGAAAGTGCTTTTGAACAAATTGGAATTAAAACAGACAAACAGACTGGACCTTCATGGGAATGTTTTTTGTTTACTATTAAAGAGTGCAGACAATTGGTGGATTTTACAAAAGAAAAGGTAAAGGTAATGTGAGCCAGACTGTGATTCTGAGTTAACCACGGAATGCTATTTGAGGCAAAAGTAAAAGGGCACAGGAAGACAAAGCAGGGAAAAAAAGGGAATCTTGCCTTTTACTCTTTCCTTTGCAATAAGTCTTCCTCTTGGGACTGATGGACAAACAGTTGGAAAAATGTCATGGAACTTTGTATATGATAACTGCAGCGAAATTACTGTATGCACAAAAATGGAAAGATTTGGCAATACCTACAATAGAGGAATGATTGGCAAAGATGATGTAACTTGCTGAGATGGCCAAACTGACTTTTGATTTGATTAGAGAAAAGGTAATATCTACGTTTATTGCTGACTGGAAAACCCTTATAGACTTTTTGTGCAAAACAGAAAAAAAATGAACTTATGATTTATTGTTTTGTTGATTAGACAGAATAAATTATAGAAAGAAGAGAGACATGATATAACTTTAGAGAAAGAGGTAAATTTATAATTGTACTTATAACTGCTGTAAAGAAGATCAGAAGTCACTTTCTTTCTTTTCTATTTTTCTTTTATTTTTTCTCTCTTTCTTGCACTTTTAGCTTTCTATTTGATTTCTTTCTTTTTCTTCCTTACTTTATATTAGTTTGTATTAGTTTTTATCTTTGTTTTAAAAACTTTTAATAAAATTATATACACACATACACTATACATACATACATACATACATACATACATATATTAAAAAAGAAAATTCTGCCTTGTTCTGGACCCTAGTATTATTCCAACCACAAAAAAAGTGGCATTGAAATAAATATTGTTAGGTTTAACAAACTTTTTTCTGTATTTGGAGCAATAAAGTGCAAGCAAGAATGTTCACTAGAAAAAAAGAAAACAAGATCTGTTATCAGACGAAATAGCTTTTATATACGTATTTGTGTGCGCATGCACTGACATATTGCAACATTTCTAGATACCATAGGACCATTTGGAAATTGTTGAGAGAACAATAACTCTTACATTTCTTCTTTTTGTATTTGGTTGTTCCAAAGACTGCATCAGGGTCTTTGGCAGTTGCCTCAATTAAAAGTAATTCTTCCAAGCAAGATTCTCACACAGCCTTCTTTAATAAGATTTGTTGAGATAAAAGGGATAGTATTACCAAAAAAAAAAAAAAAAAATCAATTCAGCAACTGAACTGTTCCCAGTTTAGAACCAATTTATCCCACAGTACATTATGGCAAAGACTTTCTTCATTTCTTTATAATAGCTTTCCAATGAACTGGCAGGAGGAAGTGATTCTTTTCACTGATAATGGAGGCCCTTGCAAGGGGTTGTTTATAAAATTGTCTCCTGAATCTGATCATTCTGAGAACAATTACAGATTGTTTCAAAGTTGAGAATCTTCTTCTTCTAAAGCCTCCATATGATTATTGCAGTTTTGTTGACTCATATTCCAATTCATTTTGCTTTCACACTTCAGACTTGACTGATCTTTCATCAAGCCTTAACTTAGTCTTGTCATTCCATTTGATATTTCGTACATTTTTAAAAATTTTAGTTGTTTATTCAGTTTGCCTGTTTTTCCCAATTTGGCAGTACTTTTTCTGTCATTTTCATGCAGAATCATCATTTTAAAAGCTTTATCAGTGAATAAATCTTTTATTTAGATTTAGTCATGCTTAGCATAGCTTAAACTTAAGCAAAATTAAGGTCCATGGATTTCAGTAGATCTGTTTTAAAAAGACTAAATCTCTATCAAGTTTCTTTTTTTTCATTTGAGAACTGGATCAAATCCCTTAAGCTTGCTTCTCACTTTTACAACTTGTAGCATTTTGATTTCTTCTTTTCCCCTACAATATCACTATTAAATAGATACTGATTTCCATTGTTCTTTTCTGTCCTATTCATATGCCTATATATATAGTTCGGTATGGCTGTATTGGTCTGAATATCAGATAATTATCTTCATTTTAATATTCAGGATTATGTCAACCTTACATCTTTATTAGCATTTATCTATTAGTGGGCAGCATCACTTTCAGCATGCTAAGAGTTAGGATATAGGTTTTGATCCATCTCTTTATTTTTCAGCGTGCACAATTGCTTTAGCCAGGTTTATTTCTCTTCAATATTCCTAAAGTTTTCCATTTTTACCTATTTTCTATTAAAGCCCTTGTTAAAATCTGAATTCTCTTGTGTGTTAATGTCATGTGTTGTCTAATCCTCCTATTTCTCTTTTTAAACCAATTGTCTCAGCTGTTTTCTTGTTTATTATTTTCTGTGCATTTCAATCATATTGTGAATTTCATTTTTCTAGCTTCTTCTACTGTTCTAAATTAAGTTTTAAATTCTTATTTTGACTTTTAAGTCTCTTTATACCTTTGTCTCTTTTTATCTAACATTGCTCTCTCTTCTCCCCCTGGTTTCTCAGTTTATCAACTTCTAATCTTTTTCTTAGGCCTCCATTCCCCTGTGTGTTTGTTCAAATTTGTCAAATTCTTTCCTGCTAAATATTCTGTTGCCTTATCTTAATCTAATTGTGACATTATTAAAATCAGATTTTGTTTTCTGAGTCTTTATTAGTCAACCTTTCTTGCTTCAAGTTTAAATATTATATTTTTTACTCTTTTTCCTTCCTTCATGCTTTCTCTCAGCTTGGACAGAATTTCCCTTCATTCTTCTTTTGTCTCATGACTTTTTAACAATAAGAATCTGCAGGCAAGAAGGTTATTAACGGGGTCATCACTAATAAGATATATTGGAATAAAACAAAAATGGCTGTGAAGCTTATTAGATATGTATTGAGCTGTTTTAGAATTGATTAATGGAAATGTTAAAATTGGCATATTTTTACAGATTCTTATATTCCATTGGAGACAGAATAATTAGGATAACTGCCAACTAGAACTCAAGGCAAAGTTTATTTTTTCACTGAGTTTGTACTGTCAATGGCTTAAGTGAACTGTGGATAGCATCAATAAGAGTGTTACAGGGTGTTCCTTGTGAATGCTCGCATAGCTATCTGCAAGGGGTGGCAAGGCAGGCAGGTGGAGGGGGATGTTAAATGGCAAAATATACATTGCAATGTGAACCACATAAC